CTTAAAAGATTGAACTTTTCAACGAACTAAAAGTAAAATTTATTGGAATTTTATATGGTATAGATAATCCAAACCAAAATCGGAAAATTTTACATACTTTTCGGTTTTTTATTTTTAAAAAAATAACTAGAAGACGCACTCAATCCATTTTCATACACGATTAAGTATGAGAGAAAACAAATTAAAAAAAATTAACACCACTATAAAATATGATGTCGTTTGAGATTTATGAACCGTTAAAAATTGCTACTTTCGGAGGCTCCCACTTGAACGTTCATTTAATAATCGACCTAACAAAATTTTCTATTTTTTTCTTCTTGCTATCTGTTTAGATTCTTATAATCAAATTATTAGAAAAAATTGTTTGAAAAATATTGTTTTTTAATTCGTTTAATGTTAATTTGACATTTTCTGAAGTCATCACAAAAGTATGCTATTTATTTATTTATTTATTAATTTGAGATCATAGTAAAGTTTAAAAAACTAATACTAACATAGGGGGTAGTGCTAGCTACGAGGCCTTCGACTACGTATTTATGTAAGCTACATTTATATTTTTATAATATATTTTAGTTCTTCTCCGAAGAAAGTACAAGAAATGCAGCATACCTTTGGGCATACATAAGTCCTCCCTTAAGCGCTCTGCCAGGCATTTCATCTCTGAGCTGTAATTTCCTGTTTAATAGTTTCCGCATGGAAACTATACAGATTTCGAAAGTGACATGAACGGTTAGCGTAACTTTCTGTACCAATCACATGAAATTCCACATAAACGATCAACGTGGCGCTCACAACATTTGTCAACAAAGAAAACGAAACGGATTAGATTCGCTTGCCTTTAGGCTCAGCTCGCAAGCGGTATTGAAATAGAAACTGACAGTCTGCCTATTCTAGTGATCATGATCCTTCTGTCAAATGTTGTGGGCGTCACGTTGACCGTTTATGTGGGATTTCAAGTGATTGGTAAAGAAACCGAGAGTTGAACGGAAATTTCTCGACGCTGCGACCTGTTAGACATTTCCGAAAATTTTAATTTCGGACGACCCCTCTCGGATGGACCACGTTTTAAGGGCATTGGAAATAAGAATAATGAATTTAACCAAGTCGAATGACGTTCGTTAAAATTGAGACTTGATTTTTTCAAATTTCTCCTTTTAACATGGTATTCGGATCTCAGTTTGCATACTTTAAGTTTTATAGCTTTAATGCAATTGTCATCAGAAATTCCAGCTTTAGATGCAATAAAACCAGCTACTAAAGATATATCATTGTTATATTCAGAAAGTAAGTCCACAATTTCCGCTTTTTTAAAGTTAGCCATGGTGTGTTCGCTTCGAGTTTCGAGCACCGAATGACTGAAATTGTGAACATTTTTTGGAGAAGAGCCAACAAAGTTGATATTTCTCTTTTCGATATATCGATATAACATTCGATTGTTGGGTTTCAGAAATAAAAGAAGCGGGAATGAATGAAAAAAGTAGATTTTAGAGGTTAGGCAGACTAAAATCAAATTTTGGCGCGCAAAACGTACATTAAAACCTGACGGAAAAAAAATACGGCATACTTTTAGGCATTCTTAGTAAAGCTCATCAAAATGGTTCGACTTCAAATTAAGCCATCAACTAAAACTAAAATTACTGAAAACTAAGGCAAAACCGCATCGAGTCGGCGATGAGCGATTTTAGTAAATTAATTAAAGAATTTATTTTTGATGTAATGACTTCATTCGGGGATGGCACTCAAAAGCACTCGAAAAGCAAAGTACTCATTTGCTAAAAAAAGCAGTAAAAATCAACGAAAAAGTTTCTTTTAGGAAACAAGTAAGTCAGAAGAGCTATTTATAATTTTTTACTTGTTGAAAATAATGACTTCTAAAAGTTCTGTGAAGAAGTCGAACAGCTACATCAGCATCTTTGACTTCTAGATTTTTTTTCATTTCCATCAATATTTGATGAATTTTTAACTTTAAAAATACGGTAAAAAAAAACTACTTGCCCGAATTCTTTGAAACTTTGGCATAAATTAGTTTAATGTATAATAAAAAGGACTCCATACTCGGTCTTGTCATTTTCTTAAAAAAAAAAACGTATTTTTGGCCAAAAATCGGATCGGCTGGCCCAGTGCATAGGAAAGATCGGAAAATTGGTTGGAAAATAATATGAAACAAATTATAGCTTCGGTGTTTTCTGACATATCATCTTATACTATTGGGAATATCATTTTTGTATTTTTAAATTTAATAATTATAACTGCAAGGGTATACAAGCTTCGGCTTTCTGAAGTTAACTTCCTTTCTTGTTTTTATATACATTAACTTGTTTTTACTCTCACTGTTTAAATAAATATTGGTCTGCGACAGACTTACCTGGGAATCGTATTGGTATCTCTTTTAAGCCACTGGCTTATTATATTTAACTACGTTAATTGCGGGTAATTCTAACTCCTTCATATAAGTAAAGGCAAGTAATAAAGACGCAAAAAGGCGCGTGCAACAACAAGCAACAACAAAAACTGTTCCGCTAATCCGTTGTTGTATTGTTTTATTGGCATGTCCCGTTTGGTCTATGCACCTTCCATTGCACATATAAGCGGGGTATTTATAGACGTATCCGACTATGCAAATCGTTATATAAAAATATATTTTTAAAACTAATATATTAAGAAATACTATTAATAAACATATACATTTTTTTAAGAATTTAAAATATATTTAAGACATGGCGAAAGAGGGAGAGCCCAAAAGTACTTTTTGTGCGTTCTCTTTGCGGACACCGACTGAGAGCGCATATCTTTTCTGACGTTGCGCTCAGCTCTCCCGGCGACGCTGGCTGCTCTGCCGACGTCCCAGTCCACTTTGTGATGAATGAGCGCTTATACTCAATTGTGGAACTGCAGGAAACGCACAAAAATACGGCATGTCAAATACACGGTTTTGCGGATGCCTTAATTAAAGCATTCTGATGTTGCGCGTCAAACATCTAAATTGCTTACTGAAAAATCGAGAGTGGCAACAATTTTGGAACCAAGAGTGGAACTTTGCGCGGCGCATATATATATTTTTTATATATGTATATTCTCTAAAGTCTTCAACGTACTTCCACACTAGCTAGAAGTAACTTTTAAAAATTTAATTTCACGGATCAATCTTTTGTGTGAAGAATCTCTAAGCTTAGTCCCAAGAATATACGGACAGACATACGGATATGACTAAATCTATGCGGCTAGTGATCTTTTTATTATCTAAGCAATTATGCGGATATTATACGGCGGCACAAATATATATGACATTTAATGGGATTTTTTGTATTAGATGGCATGGTCACTGTAGCAGCTGAATGTTAACTTTGAACTTGTTAACTCAAACAACTCTTATGACCGGTTTCAAAAGTCCCTGATAGCTATCTGTCCGAAAAACTTAAAGACAAGATAAAGCCGTAAAAGCAAATCGCTTTTCTCGACGCCTTTAATTTATCTGAACGAGAAACAATTACAGAGTGCTGTTACTTAAAATTGTGCTGTTAAGTGAAGCTCATGGTTCCATAGACTCTTGCATCATCTTTTTACGTTTAGAATCAGCTCATTTGTTTATGTTTGTAAGTCGTCATTTAGCTTTCTTTGCGTTCAGACGTGCTTAAAATTCTTGTTATGTTACTTCCCCGCTGTCCCGAGTGTATTTCCGATGTTACATTGGCCCAGCTTCGCGCTTCGGATGCTGTTCGGTTCTTCTGTTTTCCGTCGCGCTTATCAGACTTCTTGCGTAGCCCTACCGGACGACGTGCTCAACCTTTTATTAAATCCAAACATACTGTGGCAATGTGACAGCTGTGTGGTTGCGAATGATTCGCATACTAAAATTGATAAGCTCGATGATAAATTTAAAGCCCTGGAGCGCTTATATCAGGGCCTTCATAATAAATTCTTGGAGGCGTTCCCTCCTAAAGATGATGTATTGACTCAAAATTTGAATGTAAGTCTCAAACCTCGTCTACCGAGGCCTACCAACGTAACTGCAGCTCCCCAGTCATATGCGGCTGCTGCTGCTACGTCTTCCGCGGTCATTGACCCTTCAAATCAAGATCTGGATATTGACAGAGGAAATTTCTTACAAGTTCGAAATAAGAGGAGAAGGAACAACAACAAGCCCAATAAACATGTTGTTGGAGTGGCTCCTAATGCCGAAGATCTTCATGTTTTGCCGAGCAAGAAATCCTTGCATGTCGGAAAGTTTGCAACAGACACTAAGCCGAATGCTGTTTTAAAATATGTGTCCACCAAGCTTAAGGTGGATGCTAATTCTTTCACTTGTGTAAAACTTGTAAAAAAAAGATGTTGACGTTACAACTTTAAAGTTTGTAAATTTCAAGCTTGGTATCCCCGATCAGCTTTACGATTCAGTCTTCAAAAACGATTTCTGGAGGAACTCAGTTAAGGTCAAAAGATTTATTCATAGAGAACGCGCCATTGTGGTAGGGGATGGAATCATATCCAATTTGCCGGAGCCTGGACAAACTTCATAATCAATTCATCCATCAAAAAACCCCTAGTGTTCGATACTTTTGCGGGACATCTTCTGCAAGCCTTTCCTCATTTTTCGGAGGCGTTTTCGCAACAACATCGGCAGCTGCTTGCCTTTCTCACTGCGCTCTCATCATCTTCTGTCTCTCTCCTAACGCACCATCAACAACATCAGCCGGAGCTTTTGTTGTCCACTGTGTGCGACATTCGCCGTCCGCCTGGCTTTAATATCGGCGCGCTCCTCGGAATTGCGCTCTCATCATCTTGCGCCTCTCTCCCGTTGCACCATCAACAACATCTGCTGGAGCTTTTGTTATCCGCTTTGCGCGACATTCGCCGTCCGCCTGGTTCTACTATCGGCGTGCTTCTCGGAGTTGCGCTCTGATCATCTTGCGCCTCTCTCCCGTAGCACCATCAACAACAACAGCTGGATCTTTTGTTGTCCGCTGTGCTCGACTTTCGCCGTCCGCCTGGCTCTATTATCATCGCGCTCCTCGGAGTTGCGCTTTCATCATCTTCCGTCTCTCTCCCGAAGTTCCTAGAACATCGGCTGGATTCTTACTCTTCATAGCCTAATAGATATGCGCTCTCCCTCTCTACCTTTTTGACGTTCGACTTTCTACAACAACTTTTCTCGACACATTTGGCTGGATGGCTAGCCTCTCAGAGTGCTCTCTCTGAAGGTGCTCTCTGGAGATTCTCTCGCCATCAGCAACAATAATGGACTGCGGCAGCTGTAGTACGTTCTCGCTCGTTTCTACCAGGAGTGGTTTCACCTGCGTGCAGTTATATTTTGAATGCTAATATTGACACCCACCTAATATTTGGAGCGACGATCACCAGCCTATTCGTATCCGTACTACTACTTTACTGAAGGTGTTTGCAAATAATTTTAGTATTATTCGGGCCATGATGCTGCAACAATACAAATTTCAATATTTATTATCAAAACGTCGGTGGTATGCGTACGAAAGCTCAATCCATTTTCCAGGCAACGTCCCATGGTGATCACGACGTCATCATTTTTGTTGAAACATGGCTCAACATGGATTTTTTTGATAATGAATTCTTCGATACAAATCTTTATCATGTGTTCCGTAAAGATCGAGATTCCTTTAAAACACGATGCTCCAGAGGTAACGGCGTTTTATTTGCGGCGCGGCGTGATCTGCGTTGCACTGCTATTCGTCTCCAGAACGAGGATTCTCTGCTCGATCAATTTTCTGTATCTCTCGCTGGTCCTACGGAGACAATTTACCTGACAGTATCATACACACCCCCAAGCAGCAGTTTTGATTTATATAAAGCGCATGTGGACAACATTGCCCACCTATACCAGGAGCTGGAAGATGGCCAGTATATATGTGTTTTGGGCGACTTCAACCTATCTTCGCTCGTGTGGGCTCATGATGTTGAGTCTTCAGCAATGCTTCCCAGTAATTTGCATTTTCCCCACGAAATCTTAGTCATTGATGAGCTTCTTATGCAGATACGCTAAAACTAGAGTTCAAAGTTCTTATAGAAATAAATAAATTCCAGAAATAAATTCCATAAGCGCTACATAGAATGCGGTGATGCTGCTGACTTTGGTCGTTACAAGCAACATAAGCGTGAGTTTGAGTTCCTTAATAAATTCTTATACAGCCAATATATTGCTGATATAGAGCGTAAATTAATAACCAATAATAAATCATTCTGGCACTTTGTCAATTACTTTCCTTCCTTACTTTCCTTCCCATATGTCATTTAAAAGTCTTTCAGCTTGCTCGGATATTTGAGTCGCTAATCAATTTTCTAAGTACTTTGCATCTAACTTTGAACCGCGCTCACTGTGGAATGACGATGATTCACTCAGTGCCATTGCCACGATGCTAAATATTGGGTGCTTAGATGTCACTGATTCTTATTGCTGTATGGCGCCTGAGAGTTTTAAGGATTCAGGAAAATTAAACTGCGATGGCCTTTCTCTTTGTAGCTAAGCAGATAACTTTTCTTGCTGGCAGGATCATCAGTCCTAATCAACATGGTTCTATGCCTGGTCGGTCAACTATCACTAACTTACTAACTTACTAACTAACTGTTTGCGGACGATCTTAAAATATTTAGGTCTGTGAATTTAATCTCCGATAGTGAACTTCTTCAAAATGACCTAGTAAGAGTGGGAAATTGGTGTTCTCGTAATAAGTTGCATCTGAATTTGTCAAAATGTTTCTTTGTTAGGTACAGCAAAATATTAATTAATGTCCTTTGCTCGTATTCCATTAGTTCCAATATTCTTTCCTTAAGAAATCTAGGACTTATTTTGATACCAAATTTACGTTCATTGATCACATAAATTACATAATTTCAAAGGCATACGCAATGTATGGGTTTGTAAAACGAAACTTCACGCAATTTAAAGATCCGTACTCTTAACTAAGCCTATTTTCTTCGTTCATTAGGTCCAGATTGGAATATGCCTCGTTTGTCTGGAGTCCCACTGGTACTACACACATCAATCGTATTGAGCGTGTTCAAAAAAAAAATCCTACCTTTTGCCCTTCTTTCTCTAAACTTTAATGACCCGTTCTCCTATTACTCAGGAAAATGTCGTCTTATGCACCTCTCTTCCCTACAAGATCGTAGGACAACTAGCGCACTAGTTTTATTTGTGACCTGCTGTCCTCCAAAATAGACTGCCCTGCATTGCAGAGCAGCATAAGCTTTTCCGTGCCTGGAAGCACATTTTGGAAAATAAAAAGAGTGATACCGTAACCTGGATGGAGAAAGCAGGTGCCTGGAAACGTTTTGCTGAGAAATTCGCTGCCCAATCTGGAATAGAACGGACGTGAAAAAATTTGAGGGACAAATATGACCACCTAAAAAAAAGAACCCGAAGTGAATTTGCTGCCGAGAAACTTGAAAGACACCGCACTGGTGGAGGAGTCGCACCCTCCACTTCTGTTTCCCCAATCTCCGAAAGGATAGGCAGCATTATCCCAACTTCCGCCACTGGGTTGGAAAATATACTTGCGTATAATGGATGGTTTAAATAACGTTTGCAATATCTTTCTAGTCCGCAATATATATTGTTCGATCGACGACAAGGATAAAGAACCACCTAGTTTGAACGCCGCTAACAATAACTGCAGCTTATACGATACCAGTGTACTACAGGTTGTAAAACTGAAGTACATTTTGAAATACTCCTATGTGTACATACTTTAATAATTTTAGGAAGATCCCGTGCTACTAAAGGATATGCCGCGTAAGGAAGTGGGGTTTCAAGGATAGAATCAAACAAAGCTAAAGAATAAGAAGTCGCAGGAACTGTGTGACTCTCGAAAGAGAGGAGCAGAAGAAGACAGTTTTACTTAAGCTTCAGCAAGAATACTATAGGACTGAAAACGAGCGACCTGCAGAGAAACACTCCAGTGTGTGAAAAGTGGAAAAGCAACTGGCTGACCTCCGAAACATAAACTTAAAAATCGATCTGCTTGAAATGGAGACAGAACAGAAAAAAGTCAGGAAGATATTCAAGTTTGGTGATTAATATTTTATCTTTATATTTTACTAATGCTGATACTTAGTGATACTGAAATCCGAAAAAGCTGAATTCATATTCTGAAATAAGTTATAATCATTATTATTGATATTAAAACAAAAATAAAATCATATCGTCACATCGTTCCTGTTTTCCTTTTCCGTTTCATCAATATTGGGAGTTTCTTCTTGGCTTATATCTTCCTCATCAGATATGGGACTATTTTCCAAAATGGCCATATTGTGCAAAAATACGCATGCGACTACTACTGCTATTGCCGTGTTTAAAAAAATCAGCATGCCCGTAGATTAAACTGGAAACCGTCTTTTCAAAACCCCAATGCTGCGTTATATTGTATTCCAAGTTCGTAATTGTAACTCATTGAATAGTCTCTCAGCTTTAGTTCTAGGATTTAGAAATGGAGTCATCATATACTTAATCTCTAAATAGAATGTTTTTTAAATTCGCCGTTGACGTGACGATAATTAAGGCGACTGTTGTTAAAAATGGTGCTATAGTGTGAAGATCCAGGCCACCTGGCCACCAAATTTGTTAGCAGAAGCTTGGCGTTGCATATAACGAAACACTCAATGAAAAGTATCCTTTTCTGTTTCGAAACAATTCTCCGTTGTCTCCACCCGGGGACTGTAGACGGACATGCGTGCAATCTATGGCACCAAGAACTTTGGGAAACTTTGCTGTTTTAAGAGTCCATCGTTGTGTCTTCGGCTCATCAATTCTATATATGTATAAATTCCTGGCCCAGCACCGCAATCGCTTCTAATACTTCCACGGCCGCTAGGGATGCAGAGGGAACGCTGACACCACAGAAGTCTCCTGCCGTAATTAGTCAACAAGAATTTAATAGTTAATATTTGGCTAATTTTACATGATTTAAGGATATAACCGGTTAGTATTAGTGAATATTACGCTATTTACTTTCGCTAATACTTTTTTTGCATGTAGCTTTATTCCATCGGAATCGTTGTATAAAGTAATCCTCGGCAAAAAAATCCATTGAGCAAAACTCTATTGTTATTCATTATGGTTTAAATTTTCAGAAAAACGTAAAAACTGCTGCGCTATTTTGTCTCCCTCTTTGTTGGTTTTGTGAAATCAGCTGTTACTATATCGAGACAAAAAATACTTAACAGGGAGTCTGAGTCCCTGTCAAAGTTAGCTCTCACATTGAGGCCCGAGAAAGCCAAAATCTCTTAGTAGAGACTTTTTTGTTCGAGAAATGTTAGCCGGCACTCGAGAAACAGGCCCTTACTAGCTGGTTTTAATGTTCGAAGGTATAAAATTGTGGGCAATTAGTAGAGTGCTTTCGTAAAATCAGACATTTTAAATACGATTTCAAACTATTTTGGTACTGTACAAAGCTTTTAAATGTCTTTAAGTTGATCATCTCTGGCAGTGATTTCTTCTAATAGGCTTCGAAGTTTATTTCTATCATATTTATTTATTTATATAAAGCTAACTTACAGTGTAAAACTATGAGCTAACTCAAAATTAGATCGCTAGCAACAAATGCTTTCGGCTCGTATGGGTTATACTATATCGACAAAGTTTTCTTAAATGGTATGGGATAAATAAATTTTACGAAGGAAGGAAAGGATTTTGTTAATGTTGGAAGGGTTTTTAATGGTGCTAATGGGGTTTTCCGAGTTAAACGTATCTCTTCTGTGTTAGGATAGTGAGGACCAGCTTATTGTTTTGTGGCTAAGGTCTATTGAGGGATCTATGTAGTGAGCAGTTGTAAGTTTTGTGTGTCCCAACCGGAGTCGGAGCATGAGTATTTGAGTTTTTCTAGTTTGGTTTGGAGATATGTGACATATGGTTTGCGGGGAAGATTGAAGTACTTGTTTGTACCAACTAGAAACTCTGTTGTGCATGACAGTTTGTTTGGATTTGATGTGGTTTTTTAGGAAGTGTGAGATGTCGTTGGCATTGTGGTTTGGGGTGTAGGTGAGCGGAAATTGGTGTGCTGTTTTATCAGAGCAGATAGCCTGGAGAGAACGGATGAATAGTGGGGGAGGAGTCCTGCTTTGATCGGATAGGTTTCGTCGGTTACGCTTTAACTAATTACGAGGGCTGTCCGATAAGTACTTAGTCTCACCGCTCGATGGTGTCACTATCGCAAGAGAAATTTACTATCGTGTAGTACATTCTCGTAGACGGCTACTGTCGAAATTTAAGCCGAATCGGACTCGTAGTTTTGTTTTGACTGCGTGTGGAATCGGACGTGTCCGCGGATTTTAGAAAAATGGAGAAAGAGCAATATCGGTCTGTGATTCAATTCTTGTTTTTTTTTGTTTTTTTTTTTATTGGACGTTGATGTACTATGGTCAGTACAAACAAGTGGCCCTACGACACCAAGCAAAGCTTGTTACGCGCGGAGCCCATCACCGTTTTGGGCGAGTAAACATAATCGCGGACAAAGAAAAAGACAACGTAACAATAGACAATTAAAAATACAGGTCAATATACGAATAGACAAAATACATCAAGTAAAACTAATTAGTTACTAGGGAGGATAGTATTATTGATTTAAAGATAGGAAGTGAGTCAGTAGTAGATATTAGATGATATAGTCTATTATAATCATTGCAAAGTACTCTAAAAGGTTCATGCATTGCGTAATTAGAGATACACTGATTTAATACTAAAGGAATATAGTTTCTAGTGAATCTATTTGGCACATTAAAATGCAGGCGACCCAGTAACTCGGGACTCTCTACATCACCATGAATAAGATTTCTAATAAACGTAATACCAAGCATAGTTCTACGGTTAGCTAACGATGGTAAGTTAATTAGAAGTAGTCTACTAGAGTAGGATGGTAGTATTAGGCTTGTATCCCAGTTAAGTCTTCGTAAGGCAAATATTAAGAAGTTTTTTTGCACAGACTCAATCCGGTCTATATGCACCCCATATTGGGGACTCCAAACAGGAGCGCAGTACTCAAGAATTGGTCGGACTAATGAAATAAACAAGGTCTTTGTGACATAGGGATCATCGAACTCCTTCGACCACCTTTTGATAAATGCAAGCACGCCCCTGGCTTTATTTACCATAGTAGTAATGTGATCGGAAAACTTAAGTCTAGGATCCATGTAGACTCCAAGGTCGTCAGCATGCGTTATCCTATCTAACGCACAACCACTCAAAGTATACGTTGAGTAGTGGGGGCTGACACGAAAAAAGGTCATTAGTTTACACTTAGAACCATTTAAATTCAATTCATTATCCATGCACCATGTTTGAAATGCATTTAAATCCGATTGTAAAGCTAAACTTTGTGCGGGGTCATTATATTGCAGGCACAACTTAACGTCATCTGCGTACATAAGAACCCGTGATTTCGTTAAGACTAATGGAAGGTCATTTATAAATAATGTAAACAGGAGCGGACCGAGATGACTTCCTTGTGGTACACCGGAAGTAACTCGGATTAGGGATGACAAAGAGTTTTTAAAAATGACCCTTTGAGTCCTATCATTCAAATAACTTAAAATCCACCTAAGGAGATCACTTGAAAACCCTAAAAGGTCCAATTTCCGGACTAAAATCGGGTGACTTACAGAATCAAACGCCTTACTAAAATCAGTGTAGACCACATCAGTCTGACGATTCTTTCTAAAACCTCCTATAACAAATGAAGTAAACTCCAAATGGTTGGTTGTCGTTGACCTACGTTTTATAAATCTGACAAGAGGAAATAAGGGACCTACAACTGTGTTGTAAATGAGGCATAATAATGTTCTCAAAGAGCTTCGGTATAGCTGATAGCTTTGAAATACCTTTGTAATTACATGCGTTCAATTTACTCCCTTTTTTATGAAGCGGGATAACAAACGATTCCTTCCATCTGTGTGGGAAATCGGATGTTTCTAAAGACAAAGTAAACAGTTTGTGCAATGGTCTACACAAAGTCTCAGCGCAATACCTAAGCACACATCCAGGGACTCCGTCAGGACCCGGAGAGTAGACTGGTTTGACCCTTTGCAATTCTAAAAGATGTGAGCTTTTACTTATAACAGGACAACAAATAAAGTTTGATTTAGGAATGACATATGGGTAAGACTGATCTGGAGGACTTGATGTTGAATAGGTGGTTTGAAAAAACTGTGCAAAAAGATCGGCTATGGCTTGATCAGTGCTAGCAGCCGAATTTTCAAATTTAAGTGATGATGGGTAACTAGAAGATTTACGCTTTGTGTTAACAAAATTTTATAACTGTTTTGGTTCCAGTGTAATCTGGGTCTTGCAACGAGCTAAATAGTTTTTATAACACTGGGCGTTAAGCACGGTGAAATCAGACCGAGCACTTAAGTATCGGGAAAAGGCAGCTTGTGAACCTGAAGCTCTAAACTTTTTGTAGAGTCTAGACTTTACATTTTTAAGTCGTGCCAGCTCTTTGTTAAACCACGGAGGTTGGTTTGAAATTTTAGGATAATACGTAGGAACGCATGTATCAAAAACTTCGTTTAATATGTTATAAAATATATTAACCGCTTCATTTATATTAGTACTTAAGTACAGGTTGGACCAATCCGAGCAAGCTATAAGGCTATTAATGAGTGCAAAGTTCGCTTTACGAAAGCAGGGGATGCGTTTAGCTATTTTTTCAGATACTTCATACACTTTTGTACCCGTGTCAATAGTCAGCTCTAGCGTTGGGTGATAAGGGTCTTCTGGTAAAGTAATTGCAGAGGTTCTAGCTATGCAGACACAATCTGGACTGGAAACAAAGCATAGATCCAGTAATCGTCCTAAGAAATTTAATACATGATTTACTTGAGACAATGAAATATCAAGCAAACCGTCAAGAAAATCATGCTGCGTTGAAGGTAACAATATATTTGAGGTTTCGACGGTGGACCATGTCGCCCTAGGTATATTAAAGTCACCTAAAACTATTAACTGATCCCTATCTGATAGTTTACTTGAAATAAACTGGATAGGGGACAGATGATTCGCATATGTCGGGAATTCCGATGGTGGCGGAATATATGAACATGTTATGTATATAGAAATACCCGGAAGGGATAGTTTTATACA